TTTCCCCATCTGGAAAATGGGTATAATAACAATAGCTACCAAGTCAGGAACCTACCATTTAACACATGTAAAGGACAGACGTGCACCTGTTAGTGATGTCAGCAGTCTGAATATTCTGGTCCATTTCTAGTGGCTAGAAATTTATTTGGGGATGAGAGAGCAAAGCAATGATGGGGTGCAACAAAGATATCTGCTGGTCCAGTCAGAGAAGCAGGAGGAGAACCAGGAAAGAGTCACAGATTCACAGATACCAAGTGTGCATTTCAAACAAGAGGTGGCATGTCCTTAGACTGAGAGGGTCTGCTTCTGCAACTGCCTGGAACCCTGCATGTGCTGTCTCCCAAGCACCCAGCAGGACACGGGTCTGTGGCGCATAACCCACCCGCACTGTCCCCTCTTCGGGTGTGTGCAGGCTGATGCCGCCCAATTGAGTCGTATCCATCCACAGTAACTAAACAGGTTTTGGCAGAACACACAGATCTGAAGGCCCTGCGCCGTCACCAAGGCTGTGGGAAAGGACACAAGCAGAACACAGGATCCGAGTGCGAAGAACAGACGGCATTCTGAAGAGACGGGAGTGCCCGTGGTGAGACCTGTGCCCGGAGCGGGGCCACGGGGCGGCAGTCCTCACCTGTGATTACGACTTCATCCCCGTCCAGCAGAAACTTCCTGGTCTGCCCGTTCCCCAGCTTGATGTCCTTCGTCCCCTTCCACGAGAGCTCCAACATAGAGCCAAAGCTTTCTGGCTCCTTCGTCACAGGAAAAGGAGGAGAGGGTAGAGGTAGTCACATCTTAGGGAGCACCTCTGGATGGAGTGTGCTTACCATTGGCAGGCGACCCCTGGGGGACCAGGGGCTCCCACTGACAGCATCCCTTTGCTGCATACTCAACAACCCCCTGACCAGCAAACCCCATTCTGAGACCACCTCTTGCCTGGAGTCCACTATGTGTACCACCCTCCTATTGGAATGAGATGTCCCACCTAATAAGAAGGAGCCATGAGGACCCACAAAGTCATCCTCTGTAAGGCTTCATGATTCTGCCAGACTCACAAGGGCCCAGGGAGGAAGGAAAGGGTGTGTGGAGGCGGGGCACTTCATCCTCCTGGCTGAGTGCACCAGGCAAAGGGGACATCCAAACACAGTCACGGTTTGCTGATTCTTCCCTGTGCCACTCTGCCTCTGCCCTCTTTAGACAGGGGCACCACCTCTCCTGTGTCTGCCACTCCCTGCAGGTATGACTTTGGAAGAGAAGCCCCTGCCACATACCCAGGTGGGTGCAACTACAGGAGCGGCAAAGCTTATCATAGAGAACCTAGGGGTTGGGTCTCTTCTCGGAGGTGAGCTGAGGGCCCCCACTCTGTCTGAGTAGCCATCAAGGCAAGCCAGTACTCACCGGCCCACTGATGGTTCCAGAAGCCAAGAGGTCCCCAGGTCGGAGGTTGCAGCCATTGACAGAGTGGTGAGTGAGCTGCTGCAGCATGGTCCAGTACATGTGCTGTGGGAGAGGGACACAGGGGGACAGGGGCTGGGGAGGAGCAGCAGGACTTGTCCCAGGCCTCCTTGATGCAGCCAAGCCCAGAACTGCCACACAGGCTGCCCTCTAGCCAGCTCTCCCAGGGCCCTGGCAGCACAGGCAGGCCGTCCAGGTACAGTTAGCTAGGGAGCCCTTCCTACCTTCCTCTCACCACCTCCCCTAACCACGCGCAGCTCCTCCACCCCTTCAAAGTCTGGCCTCAACCCACCTCTTCCAAGAAGTACTTCCTGTGAGCCAACACCCGCGCTTAGTCCCTCAGGGCGCAATATGCCCATCTGTGGTCTGTCACTCTGCCCGATGGCTACTCCCGAGTCCCAAGTGGACATGGTCTGCGTCTGTCTCATGAGAGATGCCCCCTATGAACTCAGGCCCCACCTGCATTGGAGCAGGCACCCAACAACAGACGCCAAAGCACCCCTTGACCATGGACATTCTCCGAAGCAGTGCGGATCCTCTCTCGGGTGCCTCTCCCAGGCCACCGCCTCTTAGAACCCCCGTTCCAAAAGCCACGCCTTCAGGTAAAGGAAGGCTTAGAAATGGATCCTTGCCCAAGAGGCCCCCGAAGAGGGTCCTCTCATTTCTTCCCGTTACCACTGCCACGGGACCAGTTCCACCGCTTCATAGCAATGCTATAGGACAGAGAAAAATGCTCCAGAGGGGTCCGGAGGCTGTGAATCCCGGAAGCTGCCTGCCTCATCTTTCTCCCACAGAACGGCTGGTGGGCTTGAACTGTTGACTGTTTGGTTAGCCAACCAACACTTACACCACTGTGCCAGCAGGGCTCCTTTGTTGGTTAACTGCCACTGAGACGAGAACTGCTCCTGTGGGTGTGTGAGACTGTCCCCGTGTGTGGGAGGAGAAAGCACATCTTTCTCCCTCGGAGAGGCTGGGGGTTCAACCTGCTGACCTTGCAGCCCAACTCATAACCACTACGTCACCAGGGCTCCTTTTTGTTGGTTTGAGGAGCCCAGAATAATGCTAACCTAAAAGAGCAATGAAGAAAAAGCGTCTCTTTCAACGAACGAGAAATATATGAAGAGGTTCTTACCTGCATTAATCAGCAGGGAAATGCAGATTCAAACCACAATCCCCAAGAAAGGACACAATGGAAAAGGCAGCTAACACGGCTGGTCTGTTAAAATGTGGAGCCCCTGAAAGGCTCGTCGGACACTCTCAGGGGGCATGTTGGTTGGTACCATGGTTTTGGAGAACTAGGTGGAAGTACTCCAAAAGTGAACATAGACAAACCCCCAAACCCACTGCCACTGAGGCATATCCGACTCATAGCAACCCTATTTAGGGTTTCCAAGACTGGAAATCTTTGCAGGAACAAACAGCCTCTTCTTTCTCCTGAGGAACAGCTGGTGGGTTTGAACCACTGACCTGTGGTTAGCAGTCTGATGCTTATCCACAGTGCCACCAGGATCCTTACCATATACAAAGGGGCTCCAAAAAGTTCAGAAAAGGGGAATTAAACGATGATGGAATTTTTCTAAGATGATTTTAAGCCCCCTCATATATATACACACACACTATATGTGGTAGTTACATAATCTGGTATCAATTTGGGACTTGAGAGGATTATGCATGAAGGGGTGAAGTCTAGTCTGTCAATTGGATCATAGCCAATGAGGCCTCTGTGTGGGCATGGCTTTCTCCTGAGAATTCTGGGAAATCTGGTTTTTCCTCCTTGGAGGCGGGAGAGACTCTGCTCACTCCCTTGGAGACTCTACTGACAAGACACATGGCACTACACTGATAGACCCCGTGTCCTGAGAACTGGAGAAGCCACGCGGAGACCCCTGCCAGCACTGAGGTACTTACACCACTGGATCCAAAGACTTTCTACCCACTGGCCCATGATCATCTGCATTCGGCATCACTACATGTGTTTCATGAGTCTGAAGAGGACTTTATAGATTGGTATCAGACATATGGACTAATATCGGACTTATGGGCTTAGACCGGACTAGGTGGGGATGCTTTCTTAATGTACAATTACCCTTTATATAAAACTCTTATATATGAGTTTCTATGGATTTGTTTCTCTAGTCTACCAGACTAACACACTGTATGACTCAACAATTCCATCCCTGCATATAACCAATCAGCATCTGCATCTGTGCACCAGAGACGTGCATTAAATGAGCATCGTCATTCTGCTTGTAAAATCAGAAGGACGGAACCAGCCAAATGTCCACCAGTAGCAGAATGGATGGATAGAGAGAATATGGAGAATTTACACAGGGGGACTCTGTACCATGATGACAATGTCGAGCTACCACTACACATAACAACATGAACACATACAAGTCTCACAAATGCACTGTCCAAACAAAAGACGTGAGACACAAAATAACTCCATTCCTTTAACACAGACTGTGCGGGGAGGAAATAGCAAAAGTAAGCTATCGTATCAGAAGTCAAGGCAGAGGCTGCCCTCATCAGGGGAGACCTCGTCCTAGATCCTCAAAGAGATGCCATCCTTCTGTTCCTTCCACCACTTCCAAGTTGATCCCAGCTGCAAAACTTACCTTAAAATTGGACCTGCATATGGTAGCTGCCTGACTCATTCCTTCTCCTATTGAAGAGAAAAACCACGGATGAAGAGACTTCATTCCAATAATCAGGGAGGGGACAAAACACAAAGCAAAATGAAACGCCAGTGTCTTAAAGGTGATTTACTCCATGACCTGAGCTTCCTTGTCCAGCAGAATTTCACTTAGCTCCAGGAAACAGATCAGCTCAAAGTCAAACTCACTGCCCCTAGAGGACAGGGCAGAACTGCCCTTGTGGGGTTCTTAGACTGTAAGTCTTTATGGGAGTGAAAGCCTTGTCTTTTCTCCTGAGGAATGGCTGGTAGCTTCGAAGTGCTGACCTTGTGGGTAGCAGCCCAACAGGTAAAGTACCAATTAGGCTCCTAAGGTAGGAGGAACCAAAAGACAGCTCCGATATGACCGAGTCCAGAATGGCTTACCCACAAGCCCCTGCTTCCCCTCCCACAATCAGGGGGCAGCAATAATGGACTGAGGGACCAAGTGGATCAGATTCCTTCTTACACAATGCTCCTGGCAGACACTCACCACCTGGGATTGCTGTGCAAATTCCAACCGATTTACAACCTTTGAGGCTAATCTGCGTGCGCGCGCGCGCGCAAGCACACACACACACACACACACACACACACGAGCTCTGTGGACAGCGTGGGCCATCGGTACCCTCCCTCCAAGCTACAGTTCAACAACGTTCAGGGAACACCTACGACAGGCCAGGCGCCAGGTATGTAGTAGGCACCATTCCTGAGCCTGCACAGAAATGTCTTCCATGATCAGAATCTGCCTTTCTCCACAGCCCTGGCTTTCCTTGGCAACCATGCCTCCCAGACATGAGGTGTGCTTCCCGGGGCCCCTGGGCCACCTGCCTCTGAACTTCTCCAAACTCTTACACCCCTACGGCAACGCAGGATGAAAAACTGCAGGCTTTGGACTGGAGTCCAACGACAGTCTTGGAAACAACCCTGTGCCTGAGCCGCCTCCTTCCAGCCCAGCCTGCCTCTGCACACTGCCCTCTGGTGACAGCCCTACCCGCTCCAGGGAGTGCACACACTGCATGCTTCGGTTTCCAGCAGATGAGACAAAGGTCCGGGATGAAAGTATGACAGAAACGGACTCCAGGGAGGCAGGAGTGGGGAAGGGGAGTCTAGCCTAGAGACTATGAGCCTTAGTTGCTCCAGCCTTGCCTTGTGAAGCCCTCCACCTTTCTATGACTCTGTTCCCCAATCGGGACCAGCACAAGTTCCCAAGGCATGCCCCGAGGTAGCCACGAGGCTGCTGTCACTCTGTCCTTTCCCTCCCCCAGGCTCATCTGACACAGGGAAGGCCACTGTGCTTCCCGTGGAGTATGTGTCTGGAGCTGGCCTGGGGCAGGCCGGGACCCACCCCTGTAAAGGGCCACACCCTGGCACAGGCAGCGAGATAGGATGCAGCTGAACCTGGGTGTGAAGATGGGCCCTGAGCAGGAGAAACAGCTAGATGTTTACTAGGAAAAGGTGGTCACAGGGGCAGGGGCCATGCCTGGCCCGCTGGCCGGGCCTTCCAAGGAAGCGGGACGTAGTCTGCGTGCAGCCCCCTCGGGCTCCGCCACCTGGCTATTTCTAGTGCAGGCACTGTCAGGTCAGTACAGGAATTCTCCTGTCCAGCTCTCCCAACTACCGCCATGGCATTCCCGTGTTCAGGCGCTGAGCCATGGGCCCAGGTTGGTTTGTAAATCTCCCCAAAGCCCCACATCCGAGAAGGAAGGGGCAGAACCAGGATGGGTGCCCACATTGCAGACTGTGGAGTCGGGCCCTTTACCACTAACCCTCTACTGGCCTGTTCAGAGTGGGGCCGACTGGCTCGGGGCACATGGCTCCGTCTGCTGGGGGCCAGGTTGCCAGCTCTGTGTGGCCCTGTGGCCCCAGAGGGCAGAGCCAGGCCTTCAGGGCAGTCTTCCAAGCAGAGGCGTGAAACAACATCCCTCAGGGGGTGAGGGGTCACTGCAGTGTGTGCGCAGGGGTCCAGGAGGGGGTGCTGGAGAGCAAGGCAAGCAGAGGCTCAACTCAAACCTCACTGCCAGGGCCATTCATCTTTCCAGGTGTAGAAAGCCTCATCTTTCTCCAGAGTAGCAGCTCGTGGTTTTGAACTGCTGACCTTGA